GGCTTCATCTTACTTGGAGGATTCTGATTGTTGATGTTTGCGTTTCCCTGGCTAGTTTGATGGGGGGGGCGTGGATTGTGGGTGGGTAGGTTCAAATCAGGGTATTCCCTGGGGTGGTGTAACTTTTTAATTTGGGAAATGACATTTCTTTGTTTGCTGTAGTCAGGTATTCAGTAAAAGGTGTAGAGGCAGCTCTCTGCCTTCCCATCTAGATAAGGGCTTTCTTTTCAGTGAGTGTGTTACCACTTTTTAAATGGCCCCTACTGTTTGTGTGAATCTTATGTGACTCTTTTTATAGCTTCCGCTGTTGTTTCCATTGACTCCTTATAGTTAAAACTGAAAGCGATCTGTAGCTGGCCTCCATTTTTAGCTGGAATCTGTTTCCAGTTCTGAGTTTTTCCTAATGATTGACGACTCTGTTTTGGGGTGTGGGCAGAGCTGTTGAGAGCTGCCAAGTTGCTGTAAAAAAAAAAAAAAAAAAAAAGCCAGAGACTTTTACGTTCTTTTGAATCTGAATAAAGTCCATTGTAATCGGATTACAATGGACAACAGTAGATATCTTCAGAGCAGTGGTTAGAATTCATTTATTCTTTCGACAAATATTTATTGAGTATCTACTGTGTGCCAGGCACTCTCTAAGGCAGCTCTGGCCAATAGAAATATAATGCCACATCTGTAATTTAAAATCTTCTGGTGGCTGCATTAAAAGAAGCAAAACAGGTGAAACCAATTTTAAAATTGTAGCTGTCAATCCAACATGTCTAAAATACTACCATTTCAACATGTAATCACAATTATTGATATAGTTTAGATTTTTTTTTTTTTTTTGGTACTAAGTTCAAAATACGGTGTGTGTTATATACCTAACAGCCCATCTCAATTCGGACTTGGCATATTGCAAATGGTGGTCAAGTGTGGCTAGTGGTTAGTGTATTGGACAGTGCAGCTCAGTTGCAGCGGGCAGAGAGGCAGGTTTGGGGTGTGGGTTGGGAAGAGCTACACAGTAAGTGTATAAAAGCAAGTAAGCAATCAAGGCGAGAGGAGTGAGTGGTGCCTCTAAAGAACACGGAACGGAGGAAAAGGAAAGTGACCGAGCCACTTCAGACAGTGAGGCCGGGAAGGTCTTCGAGAACGTGACATCAACACTGAGCCCTGCATGGTAAGATGGAGCAGTCAGACAGGGATCTGGGGCCTGCCAGGCAGTTTTCTGGGCCAAGGGAAGAGCCAGTGTCAAGGTGATGAGGCAGGACAAATCACCAGGCTCCCTGCTGGCTGGAGTCATTGCTTCCATTTCTGTGTTCAGGTGAATCTCCTTGCACAGAAGAAGCTGATAATAAATATCTTTCCATTCAGCCTGGTCGTCCAAATACATCTCAGTGTTTAACTAGAACACCCTGATCCGTGGGCCTTTTCCCCACAAAGGACCATGGCAGGTACAATCCCAGATGAAAGCTGGATCCTCTTGGCTCTGGTTTTTTAAGTTCTGCACTAATTACGGCTTCTCCACCAGCCCCCCTCCCCTGCCCAACAGCCAAGTTTTGTTTGGGCCCAGACTCTGCTTCAGAATTTCCTGAGTTCTAGAAATGAAGAGACAGGAGTCACTGAGTTTTTTCTTCTTTTAGCTCCTGGATTCCTGAGCCTGAAATAGCAGGAGATTAAATCTCCAAATCACAGAAATAGAGTGTGAAATCTGGGTATGGCCCATGTTTAAGAAGCATTTCATGTGAAATGTTTGGCATAGGCAACATAATAGTCTAAGGGGCTTCATTTTGTTTATATTTAGGGAGGTATACCATGTATATTTATTCAACAAATACTTACTGACTGCCTGCTGTCTGCCAGGAACTCTGCTAGGCACTGAGGATAAACATACGCGGTCCCTGCTTCTGTGGAATTGATGTCCTGGTTGGGGGGAGACTGATAGCTAATCATAATAGTGATTGTGCTGTAAAGAACGTGATGTGAGGAGGGGTTATGAAGGAGATTGACTTGGGGGTCCGACACGGGCTCTCGAAGGAGTTGTTATTTGAGCCAAGACTGAATGAAGAGAAGGTGCCAGTCATGGAAGGGAATTCCAGGTGAAGAGACTAGCTGGTGCAAATGCCCTAAGGTCGGAACTAATTAAGCACAGTCAAGGGGTGAGTGAAGGCTAGAGCCAGGGGCAGGGAGGGAGGGTTATAAGCCCAGGTGGGGGATGAAGGCCAGGGTCCAGGTTATGCAGGACATCAAGGGCATGGTAAGGAGCTTGAATTTTATTATTATTATTTTTTAAGATTTTTATTTATTTATTTGAGAGAGAGGAAGAGAGAGAGTACAAGCAGGGTGAGGGGCAGAGGGACAAGCAGACTCTCTGATGAGCGAGGAGTCTGATACGGGGCTCGATCCCAGGACCCTGGGATCATGACCTGGGCTGAGGGCAGACTCAACAGACTGAGCCACCCAGGCGCCCCTTGAATTTTATTCTAAGAGTAGTTGAAACTGATCACTCTAGGAGGTGAGGCTTGGAGGTGGGGCAGAGGGGAAGCTAGGAAAGCAGTTGCAGGGCTGCTTAGGGAGATGATGTTGACGAGATGGTTTGCATAGATTAGAATAGTAGCCATGGAGATGGGGAGACGTTAGGTTTGCCAAGCGTTTTGGAAACAGCCTCGATAGAACTTGTTAATGGATTTGGTTTGGGAAGTAAAGAAAAAGAGAGAAAACAGGGAGGACCCCTTTTTATATTGTGCAGCGCCTCCATGGTGTCAAAAGGATAGATAATGTGCCTGTTGGGGGGGAAGTGAACCAAGTGTGTATATTATCAGGGTGGAATAAAGACGTTTCATCCTGTAGGTAAAAATGTACCTCCAGATCAGTCGATGTCATTTAATATTTGACTACATTGGAGTTTCTCAACCTCGGCACTATCGACATTTTGAGCAAGATAATCCTTCATTGTGGGGGGCTGTCCTCTGCACTGTAGGGTGCTTAGCAGTATCTGTGGCTTCTTTTCATTAGATACCAGTAGTACCCCTCCCCCCCCAGTTATGACAACCAAAAATGTCTCCAGACATTGCCACCTGTCCCCAGAGGACATAATCCATTGAGAACCACTGGATTACCTGAAGGAGGCATTGACAGATTAGGGCTAGGTCACCACTAGGAATAATGAGAATGAAGACAACACCACAGGGTTGCTGGGTAACATTGAGAGACCTGTTTTGGATTTAAAATGTAAAGTAACTTCTTACCATGCAGATATTCCCATCCAAAGGGGGTATGTTCCTATAGACCAGTAATTGTATAAATGAAAAGATCCCATGTACAAACATGTACAATTTCAGGAGAATTACCTGGGCCTATAGAAATGTCAGTTTAGACAGACCTAATGTATTAAAACCTAGATTTATACATAGAACCTCAGGAAATGAATATTCTCTTTGCAAAGGAAACTTACTTTTCTTTAAATAGCAAAGCCACCAAAGGCTTGATGGATTAAAATTCTATTTAAAGACAGACTCTTCAGCAACACATTTATTTTATAAAATAAGGTAGTACCCACACCTTCTATAATGCATATACCAGGAAATATTATATATATATGTATATAAATATCGTATACAGATAGGCATCTCGCTATATATGCATGTTTACCATCTGTTTCGTTAAACCCAAGATACAATGGTTCTTATTTATCACTGAGAAAAAATACTGCTTATTTAACTATAAAAATTCATCATTTGTAAGGCACATCCTGATTTTGGCGAGGTCAAAATGAGAGAAGACATACAAAGGTGTATCCTAAAATAAATGAAATAGGGCTGTTTAAATTAGCATCTATCTGGTAACAGGTATAAAAGGGTCAAGGTCTCGAAACTACTGAGGTGGAACATAGACATCAGGAAGTGACCTCTTTCAGAGTGGAAGACAGTTTTTATATCAGTGTGTATCATAATCATAATTAGTGGGCAAAAAATCAGTTCTGAATGCCTTTAACTTGCGAGCTTCATCAGCCATTGAAAACCTTCTACTGAGTGGAGACTTGAACTGGGAACTGCCCTTCAGGTGGCAGAAGAAGCACCAATCCAGCACCAGCTCTTCACAAGGCACTGTGCTAGGCCCTGAGAGAAATGAAAATGAAATCATTTTGGTGTTTGAACAGGGTGCTTAAATTCTGGTGGAGGGTGGACCAGAAAGAAATTCGTAACTGTAGGAGAGAATGAAGTAAGCAGTGTGGGACTTGTTTTCCGCTTCAGTAGAGCTCAAGATGCGGGCCTGGGAGTCTCATAAATGAGCTTTGTGGGGTGTGGCCAGGTGACTCGTGTGGCCGGTGGAGAGAGGTCACGGGAAGGAGGTGGGGCCGTGGTGTCGGGTAGGAGGCCCAGGCTCCCCTGCGCTTACTGTGGACGCAGGTGGGAGCCTTGGAATGCATTTGAGAGAAATGTGACGTGTGTTTTAGCTTCAGCGGGCGGGGGGGCGGGTGTGGGCAGGAAAAATCAGGGGAGTCTCATGAAAGATCTGGGCAAGATTGGGATGAAGGCTTAAACCAGAACAGAGGTGGAAAGTGGGAGGCCAGATCCAGAGGTCCGAGCGGCAGGAAGCAGGGCAAGTGCCTTGGTGATGGGGAGGAGGCTGGTGAGCGACGGGGAGCCTTGGAGTTTCAGACACGCCTTCCAGGCCTCCCTCCTGGTGGCAGGTTCTTTTGAGGAGACCTTAAATACACTGAAAGGCCTCCTAATCTGCACCATCTAGCCTGGTCCCAGCCTGGGCCGGCTCTCCTTTCTTCCTCTTCAGGCATTCATAGGAAAATGAGGCCTCCATTCACTGAGTTCACTCGCACAAAGGTTACTCTGAGTCATGGTTAACCAGCGGTGGCCAGGGCCAGGGCTGAGTAACCGCACTGGAATGTGGCCTTTGGCTACTGTTCTTGCGGCAGGTCATTTAAATGACAACTCCCTCCCGGAATCCAGAGTATCACCCCTCGGCCTGGGGAGACCGCGGCTTTCCTGGGTCTGAGTCAGCCAGGTGGTCTGGAGCCTGGCTCCCCACTTTTCCCCCACCCCGAGGCAGCGAGGACGTTTGCCTGAAGCATGCTGTCTCCCGTCTCAGAGGAACCGCTGCTGCTGGCCGAGCTCAAGCCGGGGCGCCCTCACCAGTTTGATTGGAAGTCGAGCTGTGAGACCTGGAGCGTCGCCTTCTCCCCGGACGGTTCCTGGTTCGCTTGGTCTCAAGGACACTGCATCGTCAAGCTGATCCCCTGGCCGCTGGAGGAGCAGTTGTAAGTTCTCGCACCCCCAAGCCCAGAGGAGCGAGGGAATCCTCACGATGGGGGACCTGGAGCACTTTCCCCCATGACTCCCTGCCCTTTGGGGTCTCCCTGCCCGAGAACAGAAGAGGGAGAACGGCTGAAAACAGTTCAGGAATTGATCATTGGGGTTTCCAGAGCCCCACAGTCGGTACGTGGGAAAATTAATTCTGTGGAGATCGTGTTAGCTCCGCTGTTACTTTTTAGAGCTTTATTGCGATGTAATTTACATACCATACAATCTGCGCCTTTAAAGTGTACAGTTCAGTGGCTTTTAGTGCATTCAGGGAGTTGTGCGGCTCTCACCATGATTAATCTCAAAACCGTTGTCATTGCCACAGAGCAGCCCCACGTCCCTCACTTGTCATCCTCCAGGCTCACTGTTCTCCAGCCCAGAGCGGCCGCGAATCCCCTTTCTGTCTTCATAGATTTGCTTATTCTGGACTTTTCACATACATCGAATTGTACACCGTGGAGTCTTTTCTGACAGGTTTCTTGCACTTAGGAGAATGTTTTCAGTCATCCCTCTTATGGTGTGTATCGGTACATCATTTCCCGTTACTGCCAAATAATATTTCATTGTATGGAGACAGCGCACCTTGCATAGACATTTATCAGTTGCTGGACAGTTAGGTGGTTTTCCCTTTTTGGCTATTACGAATAATACCGCTGTGCACATTTACGTACGGGTTTTTGTTTTTTGTTTGTTTTGTTTGTTTTTATGGACATAGGCTTACAGTGTTTCTCTGCTTGAGAAACAGACTGGTGCCCAAGGTGGCTGCCCCGGTTTTGCAATCCCACCAGCGGATGTGTGAGATTTCCATATCCCCCACACCCTCACCAACACTTGTTATTGTCTGTCTTTTTGATTCTAGCAGAACAATCCTGGTAGAGTGGGAAGTGGCATCTCATTGTTTGGATTTGCATTTCCTGATGGCTTCTGACATGGAGCACCTTGTGCTTCTTGGCCTGTCCTATATCTTCTTGGGAGAAACGTCCGTTCACATCCTTTGCCCATATTTAAGTTGGGTTTTGTGTTTTCCTTTATGGACCAAATTTAGTTTCTGGTATTAACTAGCTTCTTTCTTTGGGCTGGACAGGGCCCAGTGTCTGAGTACTGTGAGCTCCAGGTCAGATGGCCCAGCCAGGACAGGGTGACTCCATTGATTGAGGCAGCATCTGTTGGAAATCTTTGCCTGACACAGAGCCTAGGGGCTGGGAACCTTGAAATAAGTCAAACACGGCCCCTGCCCTTGAGGGCCTCATTTGTTTTTGCTTTGGGTATTTCTTACAAATTGCATGTTAGATTTAAGTGTTTCATCAGAAACTTGTGGCCTTGAAAATAGATCCCGCCAACAAGAGCGTGCTGAGATTCGTACTCGGGCGTTGCTGGGATTGACCGGTGTGAATCTGGCTGTTTGGTAGTATGCATCAAGGACCTTGAAAATGTTCCTCTCGCTACTAGGAATCTCAGAAATGGGGTCATCTATTTCCATACACTGATTTTCATCGTGGAATTAGCTCTGTAGTAGTGAAAAACCAGAAATCCCAGTGATGAGAGAGAGAATGGTAAGGGAAATTATGGCAATGCCATAGGATATTTTTTGCAGCCATCGGAGAGTTTTTTTTTTTTAAATCATTATTTTCAGTTTTCTGTGATCAGTTTAATGAGAATGCCAAGGTCTTCCATTTTTTTATCGATCTCCTACTCTAAATGCAAGAGACTTAACTTTATTATCCAGTCCAGTTCAAGTTTATGGTCTGAAAAAGTATTTTTTATTTTTATTTATTTATTTATTAAAGATTTTATTTATTTATTTGAGAGAGAGTGAGCACGAGCGGGGTGGAGGGGCAGGAGAGAGAGAAGCAGACTCCCTGGTGAGCAGGGAGCCCGATGCAGGACTCGATCCCAGGACCCTGGGATCATGACCTGAGCTGAAGGTAGATGCTTAACCAACTGAGCCACCCAGGTGCCGGAAAAAGAATCTTTTAAAAAGCATACAAATGGAAACTCTGTTTACCTGAAAATCACTCTTCTATTCAAACATATACATCACTATAGGTAAATATATCTGTTCAGTATGAACTCAGGAAAATGGAAATTTGAGTATTAATCCTTTTTGTGTATCTGTTGCTTAATATAGTGAGAGAAATGTTACTGTTCAATGTGTTAAGTGAGAAGTTACTTGTTTTAGGGAAAAATCACACATTTTGAAGAATAATAACTTAGGAAAATGCTTATAAGGCTTAATGAAAATGGTAAGCTATTAACTATATATGTAATATCCCAAATTTGTCTTTTAAAAATATATGTATATATGCACAAATAAAAACTTACAGTGAAATGTTTACTGTGGTTAGAGTGGTGTTAGGATTATGGGTAATTTTTATTATTTGTCTCACTTCCAAATTTTTCCCACAGTTCTCTATTACTTTTATAATTGAAAATAATTGTTATTTTAAAAGTCCTTTTTTTTTTTAAAGATTTTATTTATTTATTTGAGAGAGAGAATGAGAGAGAGAGAGCACGAGAGGGAAGAGGGTCAGAGGGAGAAGCAGACTCCCTGCCGAGCAGGGACCCCGATGCGGGACTCGATCCCGGGACTCCAGGACCATGACCTGAGCCGAAGGCAGTCGCTTAACCAACTGAGCCACCCAGGTGCCCCTTAAAAGTCCTTTAAAAGGGGAAATCTGAAGTCCTTAGATTCTTGTTCAGATTGTTACATATTTAAAAAAAATAATAGTGCTTTTAGTACTAAGTGAATAATTGGTACTAACCAAATAACTGTACTACTTTTAGAAATACAGTTTTTAGAAACTTGAATTTCAGTGAAGTTAAATTCCCCCAGTGACTCTGCCTTGCCCTTAGCTGTTCCTTTCCCATGCATATACCCCCCCATCTCCCATGTAACTCATCCCTTGACTCATTGGCAAATTCAGAAGTCCAGGGGATCTGGTGAGTAGTAGGCCTGGATACCCAAGACTTGAGTTCTAGTTCCAGTTTGGCCCCCTGATTTTGTGACCCTAGGAAAGTTAACTCTACCCCTAAAATGGAGGATTTAGTATCTTTCTAGAGAAATTAAATTTATGATATTAAATTGAATTAATACGCGGATGTGCCTTAATTCCTGTGGAATAAGGTAGCTACAGATTATTCCTTAATTCGAATGCAGAATTTAGGATTTTATAAAAAATAAAACAAAAGTGGCTTAGGTGGTCCCCAGCTGTCCTACAGAGCTTTTCCTATAGCGTGCCTTTTCCACGCTTCCTCCCTGGATGGCCCCTGCGCCAGGGCCAGGCAGCTCCGTGAGGTGTGGGGATTGAGCAGGGTCAGTCGAAAAGACATTATCACATTCAGATGCTTGTCAGGACAACAAGTTTTCAAACTCCATTGGTCAGCACACGTTTCCTTTGAAGGCTCAGGTGGTAAATATTTTTGGCTTTGGGGGCCATCTGGTCTCTGTTGAGACTCCTCCCCTCTGCTCTTAGAGCGTGAAAGCAGCCATTGATGGCACGTGATCAAATGAACGTGGTTCCAGTAAAACTTTATCTATAAAAACAGAATGCTGGCCTGGACATAGCTTGCCAAGCTGATTTGGACTAATAGAGTTTTAGGGCTGATGGAGCCTATATTTGCCTTAATTCCTCCCTTCTAGTTTTATAGGTGAGCTTGGTTTAAATTCTTTAATATATTTCAGCCACACGCTTGGGAAAAATATGATTTACTTCCAGCTTTGGGGGAACAAGTCTGATGCATAAAGAGGTCCAGTTACATATACATTGACTATAGGATTTTTCATGGAACTGGGTTCCAGCTTCATCATCTTCATTTCCCTGAGTTTGATAGACCCCAGCATGTGGTCAGGGTCACACAGAAAAATAGAACTTAATACTGGCACTGATAAAGTGTACTGCAGACAGGAAACTTCAAGTTTGGGGGCTGAATCCCAGGGCTGTCCAGCTGCTCAAGCCTGTGAGATGTCTGCTGGAGCAGTGGTGGGCAGGGCCTAGGTCTTAGGGAGTGAGTCTCACGGAGCTTATCTGGGCCTGTGGTTCACCGTAAGTAGAACGTAAAAGGAGCGGTTCAGGCCGCTCAGCGGGATCTTTGAGGTCAGTGCAGCTCTGCAGTTGTGGGCTCCTTGGCCTCAATCACCCCAGTGGTCGGTTCCTGTGCTGGATGTACCCAGAGAAGTAAGTGAAATTAATTGGTTGGAACATAGCGAGGGAAGGTGGAGAGCAGCTTGTACCAAGCAAATGTGTGGGCCAGAAAAGGATTTATTTTCCTGCTCCTTGGGCCTTTTGAAGCTAGGGGCTTATCACGCAGGGGAGCAGCAGATGGGTATTCAAGTTCTAAGATCTGTCCTAGTTCCAAACCTACGGCATGCTTTCTTCCTCATGGGAGAAACTGAGTGCATCTTTCCTTCCATGCACCAAACCTGAGAGAACTTTCTGAGGAAGCATAGGGCTCCCTGGAGCTTCTGTGATCTAGTTATCCCACAAGGCAGGTCACCCCACTGCAGGGCTATCACAAATGGGATGAACCAAGGCTAATGAAGTCTTCGTTACATGAATTCTAAAAAGAAATTAAATTCACCAAAGGCCAATTTGTTTCTAGAACCTTAATATCTTAGAAATCATGGAATGAATAGTTGGTTGACGGGGTGGCACTTTTTGACTCATTAAGGAATCTCTGCTTCCTCCAGCATCCCTAAAGGGTTTGAAGCCAAAAGCCGAAGCAGCAAAAATGATACAAAAGGGCGAGGCAGCCCAAAGGAGAAGACTCTGGATTGTGGGCAGATTGTCTGGGGTTTGGCCTTTAGCCCGTGGCCTTCTCCACCCAGCAGGAAGCTCTGGGCACGCCACCATGCCCAAGTGCCAGACATCTCTTGCCTGATCCTTGCTACGGGACTCAATGACGGGCAGATCAAGATTTGGGAGGTGCAGACAGGTAGGTCATTTCTGGCCGGGGCAAGGTCCCAGGGTGCATGCATGCTCTCATCAGGGACCAGACAGGCCACCAGCCCCCCAGGTGGCTGAGGGGTGTAGCCGTGACTGGCAGGCCGGGTGCCACCTCTCCCTGACCGAGTGCCCCTGCTCCCATGCCAGGGCTCCTGCTTCTGAATCTTTCCGGCCACCAAGATGTCGTGAGAGATCTGAGCTTCACACCCAGTGGCAGTTTGATTTTGGTCTCGGCATCTCGGGATAAGACACTTCGCATCTGGGACCTGAACAAACATGGTATGGAAGTGATGGAACTGCTGGGCAGCTCCCAAAAATACTCTGTTTGCCCCCTTCTCCCTTTTATCTTAGAACACTGTTTCTCAACCGATTTTCCTAAGGACCCTTGAAAGACATTTTTTTTAATCACACACCTGCCTCGTCCCCATGAGATATTAATACTAAAAATACACTATGTATGCACTGAATGCACATCTATGCTTTGTACATAAAAAAAAAGGTAAGTTTTTTTTTTTTTTTGGTTACTGAGAAGCACTTTTCACCCCTACTGATAATCACTCCTATTGAAAATAGATGCTGTGGTGTAAGTTTTCTCAACCATGGCACTATTGACATTTTGGGCATGCTAAGTCTTTGTTACAGGCTGTCCTGTGCACTCCAGGATGTTGAGGAGCATCCCTGGACTACCCACTAGATGCCAGAAGCACCTTCTCTAGTTGTGACAGCCAGAGCGTCTCCAGACATTGCCCCCTGTCCACGTGAAGGGCATTGTCTCCCCGGGTTGAGAACTACCAGTCTAGAGGAAGTCGTCCATGTTGGTTACTTCCTGTTAGAAACAGTTTCTTTGTGAAGTGGAATCTTTGCCCAGAAGGATTCTCTTGGCTAGAGGGGGTCAACTTTTGTGGAATTTTGCTTTGAGCAGAATTGTATACAGAGGTGGCCCATACATCTCTGGTACTGATCTTTAACCAGAAAGGTGACGCAGGGAAGAGGAATTTATTGTCAGGCCCTTTCTTCCCCACATGGGCAGGGACACAGTGGCTGGAAGGAGGTGGAAGGAGGAAATGGCAACGTGGACAGTTGATAGAGAGGCACAGTCGCCCCCAATAATGTGAAGGCACTGGTACTCTTGCTTCAGCCGTGACTGTGCCAGCCCCCCCCCAACCACGAGAGGGGACCTACTCCTGCCCTCTGAGACTCTAGCCTGATGACTTGTCACACTGCCAAGGAGGTGCTTGTGGTGTCCTCATCTGATGGCATCTGGTCACCAAGAGAACTCTGGTAGTTTCTGCCCTTAGCTGCGGAACTTGAAGTCACAAGACAGGTCTGCTGCTTGGGAAGCCTTCTCCAGGGCAGTGCCATTTTTAATGTGTATCCAGAGGCAGCTTGCCATCACGTAAGGGAGATTCTTAAAGTGACTTTTAAAATCTTTCGGTGATTGGGAAGAGAGGACTGGCTGAAGGGGGCTGGGAGTGGGCGAGTACACGAGGGCTTTCTCAGGACGGGCGGTGATCCAGTCGTGTTCCTGGGGACAGGGCCCTGCCCTACCATCCTGCCTAAATTTGTTCAGCACTCAGAACCACCTGGGGTAGGGGGGTGCTTGGTACTGCTCTTGTGTGATAGCTGAAGAAACCATGACTTACTACAAAAATACTATATACACCCACATATATATACATATATACACAAACTCTTAAATGCATTTGCATGAGTATGTATGTTCATAAAAGTTTTTTCCTTTTTCTTTTGTATTGGTTTTCACCCCCACCCCCCACCCCAGTCTCTTTCCCTATCTGATCCTCCCCTCCACTGTCTTCCCTGAAACCCCCTGCAGCCTCAGGACCCATGCTAAGAGCCTTCCGTATTTCCCTCGGCGCCCTACTCACACTCAGACACACTTAGGATTTGGGGGTCGTTCCACAAAAATAGATTCATATTCCTTACATTTTTCCCACGGAACATGGAAAATCTAGATCCTTAATACCATCTGAATTAATGGGGTAGAAACGTATTCCATGTATTCACCTGTTCTGTTATGCTTACGGATGGGCCTTTAATTTTTCCCCCAAACTCAGAACTGGACCAATTCTGTGAGTGGCCCCGGGGCACGTGCTGAGTAATCAGTGGAGTCAGGGTTCAAACCCGGGTTCGCCTGACGGCAGAGCACATAGGCCTCATTGCTCTGCGAGGTGGCTCAACCAGACACCCTGGCGATGGTGAGAGTGTGCGGTGGGACCCTTGGGAGGGGGAGACCATTACAGAGCGTCAACGACGAGTGAAGATAAAACATTCTCACATTTGGAAGGATGCTCCAAAGTATTAGAGGTGGTTGGGGGGCCCTGGAAAGAATGTTCTCTGCTAGCAAAGGCATCTGTCAGATGCGATCTATGTACAGCCTTTATCGCACCGGTCTTGTGGATTTTGGTGAAACAGAAGGTAGTGATCTCCTTGGGGATTATACTCTCATGTAAATAGGTTTCAGGTGTTTAAATGACAACAACTGGCATATTTCTTTCTCTGCCTTGAAAAGAAGGGGCCTTTGGGCTCAGGCATTAGGGCACCAGGTGGGTCGGCCATGCCTCCCAGTCCTTCGGGCCCCCGGCTGCGTGGTTCCGCGCACCGGCTCACCCTGTGCCCCTCTCTGTGCAGGTAAACAGATCCAGGTGCTCTCGGGCCACCTGCAGTGGGTTTACTGCTGCTCCATCTCGCCCGACTGCAGCATGCTGTGCTCCGCCGCTGGAGAGAAGTCGGTAAGGCTCAGATGTCGGGTGCTACCTCCTTTGTTGCCCGTGTGCGGTGAGACCGGGAGGCCTGAACGGGCCTGGTGTGGGAGAGGGTAGGTGAGGCCCACGCCTCCAAAACCCCTCCAAACCCAGCTGCAAAGCAGCCCCGGTAGGACGCATGCTCGTGGGCCGGGCCCTCCTCCTGCACGTCGTCGCCTCTCTTTTGATTTGCGCGTTGAATAAACTGAGAGAGGAGCTGTTGAAGCACATGGATTGCCCTCATCACTGGAGGAGGGCTGTTTGCCTTTACAAAACGGTAAAGGTGTGCTTTTTAAATTTTTTCCCCTTGGAGTCTCGAGATTTTAAAAGTTGCAACCCCTATATGGATCCCAGTTTCCCTCCTTTGAACAATTTAATTTGAATCTGTGTAATGGGAATTTCCATTTCAAATCAGAATGTACGGTTGCTTGTTGAACTTTGTTCTGAAGTCCTGTTATTTAAGAAAGTATTAGAAACCCAAGAATAATTTGGGAACGGTGTGTTTGTCTGATTCTACATCTGCATCGAGCTGTTTGTGGTGACTAAGCCAGGAGAGTGAAGAGTTCACTGTGTGGCACAGCCCAGGTGGTTAATCATTCATTTGGGGTTTGGAACTACGTGACGGCAAGTTTTCTTCAAGGGAAGAAAATAAGATCCCATTTTTCATGATTCTCAAAAAGATTTCAAGTGATGAGCTGTGTCAGATGTCCGTAGAGTTGTGGGGCACGTTCCTACTGCTCTGTAAACACGTGGTGTAAAATGGCTTGGCAAGGTGCCACCGCTCTGTTGGGAGCCCTGGAGCTCACCTCTGACCCCTATTTTTGCTTTTAACTGAAAGGACAAGATAGTGCTTTATCAGCACACGCTGTGATTTTGCAAACAGGGCTCAGAAGCAGAACCGAGAAGCCTCTACGGATACACTTTAGCCGGTAGTCTTCCTGAGCTTGGCTGGGTGTATTCTGTTAGACTAGGCTCCTTGAACTTGTGCGCTGGTCGGCACCTTAGGAACTCAGACCTGTTGCTTCACCTAAGCCTCTGTGACGTGGAGTGAGTGGAGACCTTGGCTTCACCTGGCACTGCCGTGTCAGCTTGCTGTGCAAACTGTTGCCGCCCCTAACCGGGCACCTGTTCCTTTGCACAGGTGTTCCTGTGGAGCATGCGGTCCTACACGTTAATCCGGAAGCTAGAGGGCCACCAAAGCAGTGTTGTCTCTTGTGACTTCTCCCCCGACTCCGCCTTGCTTGTCACGGCCTCTTACGACACCAACGTGATCATGTGGGACCCCTATACTGGAGAGAGGCTGAGGTTACTCCAGTAAGGCCGGGGTCCCTGCTTCGGACCGTGTTGCGGGGGGGACTGATGAGAAAGCTGCCTTGGGTTAGGCATGGCCCGCATGGGGTCGGGGGCGGGGGAGGCGGCCGGGGGGGGGGGCCGCCTGGGTTAAAGGCACGGCGAGTTCAGGCCTTCTGAGGCAGTGGCATGCGGTGGCACTTCATTGTCACTTACGTTCTCAATTTAGACCCGAGTGCCTTCAAGGCTCCTGATGTAGGAGGTTGTGTGTACTTCTCTGGATTCAGCGTTAATGAAACCTCAAAGTGACTCTTTCTTTCCATTTACTAATAACCAGAGTAGCAAGTTCAGAACGATCCTCTTACCGAAACTGGTATTTCCAAAATGAATTTTCATGTTCTCACAAACCTGGGTCTTTTTCTCTTTGTCTCTGTTGTTTTCTGAGGCAAATAATAGGTAGTCCTATAATTATCATGTATCTTAGCTGAAAAAAGACTTTCAGTTTGTACTGTGGCATTGAAGTGAGGGCTGACCTACTTTGCATAAGGAAATTAGCACAGGGAGTGTGAGTAACCCTTCAGCCCCTTCCGCGAGACACTTAGGAACTGCGCTCCCCACCCCCCCCCACCCCCCGTCTGCTTATCCCACGGTTTTCGATAGGGGGTAAGGATGGGGGTCTTTGAGCCCATCATAGCCCCAGCATTGGAATGAAGCTGAAGGGTGGAGGGTGGTCATCATCCCAGGCCAACCGTCCTGTTTCTTTCTCCTCAGCCACACCCAACTTGACCTCCCCATGGACGACAGTGATGTGCACATTAGCTCCCTGAGATCTGTGTGCTTCTCTCCTGAAGGCTTGTACCTTGCCACGGTGGCAGATGACAGGTAATGCAGAGACATCTCGGTTGTGTGGCCTCAGAGCAAGTCCCCGCAAATCACTGTAGCATTCCCCTCTGGGGCTGGCCCCATGTCTGCTAATGTGCGAATGTTTCTTTTCTCTCTCGTCCAGACTCCTCAGGATCTGGGCCCTGGAACTGAAAACTCCCATTGCGTTTGCTCCTATGACCAATGGTCTTTGCTGCACATTTTTTCCACATGGTGGAGTTATTGCCACAGGGTACGTGTCTGATAGCTGAACAGATGGGGAGCGGTTTCTGCTGAGTGTTACCATGTAGCTTTTTAAGGAGAGCAAGCATCTAGAATGTTCTTGCCTACGATGAAGCCTTTAAAGGAAATCTAAGAGGACACAAAATTCTAATATTCTATTCTGCCAGTACAGGTTATCATTTACTCTTAATATTTAATCTGAGAGTAATTAAAGAGCTCTGATTCATGCCACTTAATGGGCCACGTCCACAAGAAGGCCTAAGTCGGGATGATGCAGAATTTCTGAGAAACCACTTAGGGCAGAAACCACCTTGCAGGGAACATGTATAATTCAGGAGGCGGCACTCTTCCCTCTGCCGCATTGGAACTCACGGTGTGATTCAGAAGGGGCCAAGCTCAACGGATAGCATTTTGGTATCAAAAGTGTCTTGCGTTCTTCTGATCCCTTAATTATTCACCATCATAGCCTTTACATCCATTTCAACCATCAGGGTTGCATTTAAGGGCCGCATTGCACTCCCCGGGTGTCTCCTGCTAACGCAAGTCAAGAGTCAAAACATTTAATACCCTGAAAGTGTGTGTTTCCAAGGTCTCTCCTAAAGCGTCCGTTTCTGTTCCGTTTCAGGACAAGGGATGGCCACGTCCAGTTCTGGACAGCTCCTCGGGTCCTGTCCTCACTGAAGCACTTATGCCGGAAAGCCCTTCGAAGTTTCCTGACCACCTACCAAGTGCTAGCACTGCCAATCCCCAAGAAAATGAAAGAGTTCCTCACATACAGGACTTTTTAAGCCACGCGCCATAGTCTTGTTTGCTTGTAGCAGGAACAAACTTCCTGGCAGAGGAGTAGCTGGGAACAATGGGCCAAACAGCTGGTCTTGGATTGAAATAGAATTTCTCTTTGAGACAGTGAACAGAGTGTAGCAAAAGCAGATGCCGGCGGACTGGTCATCCAGGTGTTTCTGCGTGACCTGTGGCAGTCAGTCTTAGAGGGGCTCGCAGCTCCGTGGTGGCAGAGCCTTACCTGAAATCCTCAGCCCACTAAGAAACGGCAACGTTGAACACTTTCTAAAGTCCTTCCAATTCAGAGCGCAGTGACTAATGTTGATTTGATAAGCAGAGTAACCAGGCCTCGAGAGCCTCTCTGCTGGGGCAGGTTATTCCCTCGACCGGCGAGTGGGCAAGTGTTGGCTTGTGCCTAGTACTGGTCATTGTCGTGTTTCAGATGCAGTGGTGACATTGTTTAAAAAGTTCTCTCCTGCTGTATCAGAGTGGCTTTGCTGTTGGCAAGTGCTTGCCTTCCGCGAGCTCCCCTCTGACCAGCAGGACCGAGTTTTCATGGAGCCGTCTGCTGGGAGGTCGGAGCTAGATTACAGGGCACTCAGAGGTGTGCTCCTGACTGATACACTAGAAACGGCTTTTTTTTTTTTTAATCGGTGTGCATGTGCCGGAGATGACAAACGTGTGTGTCTGGGTACACGGGGATGTATTCCTCAACTGCATGACTGTCCAAACGGCGGCTGACTTGTCAGCGGTTTGCTGTTTGCAGCCTATTTATTTGTATTTTCTCAACAGATGTTAAGGTACAACTGTGTTTTCCTCCCTGGTATCTAAAAACTATAGTTCTTAAGTTGAACAGTTGTGAAGATGTCTCTTCTTCGTTGTTTAGGGAATTGGTGTTGTCTCCGCTTTGGCTGATTGTCATATACAAGGTCTGACTTCGCTGCTTTGCCTCATCGGACGAACCAGCCCGGTTCACCTCTACCCCTTACCAAAACTAGCTCCTTGAAAGTACTGTTCTCCTTCAGTGGCGTGTAGTTCTCTGATCAAGACACCTCATTCCAATGAAATCTGCCTTTGGAAAATTTAATATATTTTAAATTATTTTAAAAGAAATGCAACATCTTATCCTTTGGCTTTCTTACTAGGTGCTTTGTGGAGGCCAGTGTTAACGTGATAAAACTTGTTGCAAAAGTACAAGAGTCTCCTCTACCACCTTTGTTGCTGAAGAAAAACATTTCTTTTCAAGATGAGAGGCTTTCATTGAAGGAAAAGTTAAAAAGCTTTCGGCTCAGTTTCATTTTTTCCACTAAGAAAAAAAAATACCACCTTTTAAAACAAGTGAGTACAGCAGGACAGCGGGGAACGGCTTGGGCCAATTTTACACTTTGTGGTCATCTTGAGGCATCCCAGCACAGCCTGAGAGGTTCTGGGTGGCTTCCCCAAGGCCCCGTCTGGCCATTAGCTTCAAACTTTGCTCGGGGTTCTCGGGGAGCGAGGTGTACGTGGGTGAGGCAAATAACCAACCTCTCCCTTTTGATAGTCTGAGAAGCTGACACCTTTATAGAGCAGTCTCCAAAGTAAGCTTGTTCTGTGATAATCAGAGAGGGGGAAGGCTTTTTCATATAAATGCAAGGTAAGTCAGCATCTTTCTAACTGGTGAAGGAAAGAGTAGCTCATAACAGCCAACGTGCAAGCTGCTTTATTTTTACGGAGAAGAACACATAAAGGCAGCCTGTTCACTGTGAAAGAAACTGCTACCCTGTCTACAGGGCCCTGTCTTTCCCGCATGTGTCGGTGCCGAGCCCGGCCCGTGCTTGTCTGCCCTGCCTGCGTTAACAAGGGAGTACTACGCGGCCTTGCCCCCCGCGGGCGTAAAATGACACTTCGCTGTCTCACCACAATTAGGAACCTGCTAGTAGGGGAGAAATAAAAAGATGTTTGTTTTTAAAGTAAGACAATTAACTGAGCCCGTTTATAGGAGTACAATAGTTTGGGCCAGAAATCGACGCACACCTATTTTTTTTTTCATTGACACCTATTTAAAGCAGATCCAGAGACCGCGCCACAAATTAGGTTTATGCACTTAGTTGTGGAGCTGTTCTGTTACCTTGGGTTAGAAAACACTGGCACCATGGGAGACTGGGAAGATTTGGTTCTAGGCCAAAGTGGGGCAGGCCAATTTCCTGTCATCCAAGCAACTGAACGATAAAAGCCTTAAGGCTAAAAGAAAAAAAATCTTCTTGCGCTTTCTTTCCCGCCCTAAGACACAAGTGGGCAGCAGAAAGAGAGCTGGGCATTAAAACTGTTTTGTACCTGCTCCAAACAGCCACAAACACGGTACTTTTTAAACCTTTGCCCACCCAGGCCTGGAACAGGGTTTTCCAAAGCCTGGGGTGATCAGGGCTTCAGTCCCCAGCTGTAACTCAGTCCCCTGTTGTCCAGTCACCGTGGGGCCTGCGAATCACAGCAAAAAGGCTCAGCATTTAGGCCTCTGTGACAATCAGGTCCCTGGTGACCTGGAAAGCGGCAATGAGGGAACTCAGCTGAATCTTCTCGTTGGTGCCAACAGAGAGTCTGTACCTAAAAGAAGTCAAACAAAAGGTAAGAATAGAGAGTATCATGGGACAGCTGCCTTTTGACAAGGGGACGAGAGAGAGCAAAGACAGGGACAGTGTGCCGAAGAAGGAAAGCAGGTAATCAAACTTGATCCTGGACAGTAATCTTCAGTGTGTCCCCTGACATTCTCCTCTCTGCCCTGAACACTCATTCATAAATTCCACTCAAGCTGGTAAGGAAAAATTAAATTAAAAAAATTATCAATGGCAGTGTTCCGAAGTTCGTGCTGTCTAGACGTATGCAGAATTTAAGTGATAAGGATTTATTTCTTCACTCACAAAAGGTACTGAGAGAAGATTTCCTTCCTCTTAACTCACTTGAGAACGTGGACTGTGGTTCTGTGGTCTAGTTAGTAAAGCAGGACACTGGTGGTTCATCTTGCCACCTTCCCAGTGCCCAGCCAGTGAAAGCAAAATCATGACCTTCATCACGTAGGGAGAAGTGACCTCATGTGTGAGTGTGAAAGCCAGTGAGAGCAAATTAGAGTTGGTCCCGTGTTGGTGTCTGTTTAGAACCCAATGCTTCTGTCCACCTAAATGACAGCTGCCAGCTTCAGTGGGGGCTAATAACTGTTTATGGAACCAGGCAAAGTGGAAAATTGAGTTTCTGTTTACTTTGCCCCCCAATATGCTTTGCTACGCCAAAATGCTTTAACAACAGCTGGATAGCTGGTTGTCCCCAAATGACCTAGATGTCGGAACTGAAGCAGGCCTTCCAGATAATGGCACTTCTAGAACCAATGTGGACCAAGCCTTTGAGGTCTAAGGAGAGGCCTTTATCTCCCAGTCCGTTACTGAGCCGATTCTTTAAACAAGCAAATCAGTGATCCCACCAAAAACTAGACTGTGCCATGTAGGAATGAGGTAGACAAGAAAGTTGGAACCAAGCAGGTAGAAAGAAAAAATGCACAACAGGGTAAAAAAAGGAAAGGAATCAAAATTGAGAAGTACTCACTCTATGTCTGCCATTTTGGTCAGTAAATGCACTCGAACTGAAGATGGAAAGTCAACTGTGGGGAGAAACAAAATCAAATGAATGAGGGTCTGCCCCTCCCTAGTACTAAAAAAAAAAAAATCCCACGACAATTATGAGCTTAAACGTCAGAGGACACTATACTTGTCTGGAGGCCTCAGGTCACTGGCTGCCACACCTCTAAGGAAGTGAACACTGGATGAGTTCAGTTTTTATCCATCTTGTGAGCAGATTCCAAAGCGATCACAAGAACCCGGAAGAGGCACCGACATTGCTTTAGCAACGGGGCAGCTCTAGGAGTGAACTAGAAAGCCAAGTTCCCACAAGCTGTCCCGATTTTTAAAAACAAATCTACTGATCTTTAAATCTCTATTCATATTCATTTTCCACAAAGTGCAGAGCTGGGCTCAAGCCGACCACGCTTGTGGGCCGCAGTTAACGCCAGTTGGCCCAGGGGAGGCCCGCAAGGCACAGGCAGAACATTCCCGGACCCGACTGTCTGCAGTCGGCTATTGTAGGGGGACAGCTGCTCCGAGGAGGCGGAGCAGCACGTCACCCGAAGAGCCTGAGAAAATCCTGATGCCCAGGTCCCCACAAAGGCCAAGTGAATGGGTTTGGGGTGACGCCTACGTGCTGCCAAGGTTGAGAACCAGGTCTCTGTACAGAAGATACGGCCGAGTGTGGCACTTAAGATGGTTTAGTTAAGACTGCTCTGCTTTACCCCATGGATAGACGTTCCTCCTCTTTCTCTCCTTTTGGGGGAAAATACCCTTAGAAACGTGAATTAAAACATACTATTTACTCCTGTAAAATAAAAACCCTCGGAGGAGATACAGTCAGCCCTCCGGAGCTGCTTCCCCAGGAGGTTCAGAGGTCAAGGGTCATTTTGGAACAAAGTTGTAAATAGCAACAAGAGAAAACTAAAGCTGCGGGGCCCGGTTTATACTTCGTTCGCGTCTCCCGTCTCTCTGCTTCGAAAGCGAAGCCTCACGTTCCCTCGCTCCCGCCCTTAACCGCCCCGCTCCCCTCCTCCCGCAGCTTCTCGACTAGGGAAGACCGTGAGTTACCCCTGTGCACGAACAAGTGTATCTCTGTCAGGATGTCCTGTAGCGCCAACCCCTTCAGGGTTTTCAACTCCATAATATCTAGAGAGGAACAGTTAAGGCAAAGGGCCAGCTTCTCGAACAAACGCGCTGCACAGAATTTTGAATCCCAACTCCAGTGGGGGTGACTTCTGGAAGGAGGGCTTCTAACCCCACTGTGGCAGTTGCTCTCAATCCAGCTGCGCCAAGTGGGCCCCGATTCTTGCCTTTCCTAGGTTTGCATCTTCCACAAGGGCTTTCCGATAGAACTGTCTCTGCCTAGTAGAGGGCAGAGCTGAATGCGTCCCCCAGAAGGCCTCCTGTCACTGCCCCTGGCTTTGAACTTCACAGCAAAACACGAGTAACGTTGGCCACTCGAGAATGATCGCATTGGCCGCCCCCAACCCCAAGGTCTAACTGCTGCTCTCATCCGCGAGTAAGGCGGCCTCAAGCTGTACCCACGTCAGAGTCCTTCAGGAAGAACTTTAGGGCATTAAAGGCGAGGACCCGCTCCACCCACAGAGCCCGTGTTTCCACAGCCAGCGGCCCAGACCCACGAGCAGCCAACCGTCTTTGGCCAGCAGGGTGTAGACGCCGGCTGCAGCCTGGACTCCAGGGACAAGCTCGGGCCTCACGTACGTCCCGCACTGTCAGCAGCCCCCGAAGAAGGATACTTCTGTAGGCTGTGGTGAAGTCTTGATTCAACATCCAGTCCAGAATGTTGGCAATGTCAGACTTGAGGGGGAGCCCGGTGCAGGTGTAGACCGTCTCCTCTGTCACCTTCCCGAAGGCCATATTGGTGCTCTGCGCGGGAGGGGGAGAGTCGTGGCTGTCACAGCGGCCACCACGCTGCAGGCGGGTCAGGAGGAAGCGGAGGCAGCTCTGCGGCTGTTCCGGCTCCAGAACCCTTCCCTAGCTTTCCCTGGTCTGCAGCAAGTTACTCTCCCAGTTCCTCGAAACCCCGAGGTGGGGGGAAGTCATCGGTACACGGGGAGATCGAGATCTTACCGGTTTCTCAATTTCTGAACTTAATAGGTTGGCTGTGCGCTGCTTCTGTCTTTCCTGAAAACCTCTTCCGAAGCAGCGGCTCGAGACCTGCTGCAGTGGCACCGTACCTGCAGAATGTTCAGAGCCCTTCGCATGTCTCCGCTGGAAAGGGTCACGAGGGCTTTCATCCCGTCCTCACTTAGGTCCACTCTGAAAGGCAAGAGACAGAAGGAGGTCAGAGGCCCCGAGAGAGCACGAGCGTTCACCCCAGGGACGACTAAGGCTTTGAAATAACGAAAGGGAAGGACAGAGTTAACAGTACTCTCCCGATCTATGGTGGGCTCTCGAATTCCCTCTGGTCTCTGGGGCTGTGGGCTTCACGTTAGCAGTCACCGCCCACTCCCAAGTTGGGAAAGAGGCCCACGTATCGCTGTGTTGAGCAACGGGCTTTGAATTCTGTTCTCCAAGAGCAAGCGCGTGGCGAGACCTGAGGTCACGGAGGCAGACCAGCCCCTTTCACAAAGCAGCGACTTGGGCTGGCTACGGGCCTGGCAACTGACGGTACAGAAGGTAATGTCTCAGTACCTTCCCTTCTAGTCCTGAAAGGCTGGAGGCATCTTGGCAGAAGAGACTCTGGCAGCACGCCATTGCCAATGACCAAAGAAGAGGAGGAGGAAGTCAGGACGGCTTCCGGGGGAGGAGGGTGGAATCGAGAGAGGAACCAAGTGCCTTTTACGAAGGCTGTCCATGACACGCCAGGGAGGACAGCAGCTCGCAGACCCCGATGCTGACTCGGCCAGGCACCCGCCTGAACTCTTTACACGCCTTATCACCTTCGACTGCAGACCCGCCAGCTGGCCCCAGGCCCTGCCCACAGCCCCCGGTCCCCAAGGCCCTGGGCTTTCCTGCTTTCCCTTGTACTTACTTCTCTTCTTCTATGACGTGTTCCAGGCGGGGGACCATGAGTTCGGGAGTCAGGGGGCC